AGATAAAAGACAGCTTCCATCTCTAATCAGGTAGACCTTTGTCTTATGAGTAACTGGAATTTAAGTATTTCATTTATTAGTGCATAAAAACTAAACAATGACAGTTGAGAGAAGAGATGCTTGTCAAGTTTTCTTAGTCACGTGAGGAAAATTAGGTGGGTTATATGTTAATTAGACACCAAGCAAGCTGAAAATTATATTGATTCAGAGATAGATGAACATGTATGTGCACACATGCAATTTTCCTAGAAAGGATGTTTCAAAATATGTCATTAAAGCTTGAGAGTAAAACAGCTATTTTTCTCCCTGTATTTTTTTGTTTAAGTGCTGGTTACTGCAAAACAAAACAATGGACTGGCTAAAATCTAGTTCAAGAAAACAGTTGTATTGCAGCTGTTTGCTTTTGAAAATCTGAGGTGTGGAACTGTGCTGAGATTACTTTGTATACTGTTGCTTTTGAAGTTCATCCTGTATCAAGAACGGCTTTACTTTTGTTTTATCCTCATTGGAATGTATTTTAGGACAATATTTGCAGTTTTGGAATTCTGATGTTTAAAACAACAAGAACAATGACAAAAAAATTTTTTTTTTGGTCAAACAAGACTGAAATCTACTATGAGGTGGATGATTTTATTTATGTTGATTAGAAGGCGTCCTGAGCATCTCAGGGTGACATAGGCTGGCTTTTGGCCATGAAGCTGACTGCTGCTGAGGGGCCGAAAAGAGGTTTGGTGCTGGGGGCTGTGGGAGTGATTGGCCTCAGCAGGTGCCTGATCACGAAATGTCTCCCCTCCTTGCCTCCCCCTCCATCTCCAAATGAGCTTCCCAGAGTACAGAGATGTGGAATTAAGCAGGAGGAAATATTTCTGGTTTGGCAATTTTGTAGCTTTGAAGTCTGCTATGGAACATCAAAAAAGAAAAGTCCCCTTTTTGTAACTGCAATTCATGCTCGATTTTAAAAACTTGCCTAATAATGTCAATACAGAATTAAAACAGATCCATCAAGCGTTTGGAGAATATTTGTGGTGATTAGGAGTTAGTTTGATTCATAGATAGCCAGATTTAGAATTTTAATGCTATATTCTTCTGTGCATACATCTTGTTGCATTGATTCCATTTGTTTGAACTTGTACGATTAATAAAGGTATGTTTTAAGGATACACTTTTTTCCTAGTAGGAATTAAGCATTAGGGTGCTGGGTGTTTTTTTTTTATTTTGCTTTTGCCCATCAGTTGACTAGTCTTTTGGTATTTAACCATAGGTAATGCTGTAGTTCACCAGTGACTGGTGTCAGATAATTTTATTAAACTGAGGTTAAATTTGCAGTTAAAGAACAAAATCACTCATACAGGACAAAACAAATGCAGTACAAAAGTAGTAATGATTTATAAATAGCATTTCAAAATTTTCTATGTATTAGCACCTACATCTTTTTATATCTTCTGCATCTGTCGGATTTTTCAAAGTCTAGGTGAAAAAAAATGAAATAAATAGACTTAATATCCATTGTGACAAGGAATATGGTGAACCTTCCTTTTAGTACTGGTTTGAATATGTACACAGTTTTGCATGCGTAATCCCCAGTACGCATATGATTTATTGTTTGTAATGGTATTCAGAGTTATGGAGTCTAAGTGTCAAAAATGAGGCTCCTGGGGTATAAATATGTCTGCAGTCTGGAAAAGATCCTTAATTATTTCAGGTGTTCTGATTCCTCCTGTTGTGTTCAGGGTAGATGTTTGTTTATTCTTATATACCAGTTCTTGTGATTATATTCCTCTTGCACCTGTGGTAAAACTTGTAGCTTCAGTCCCACTTCATTATAGATGCTTCACAAGCCAAGGATGCTGGCTGGTCTTCTCAGGGAAGACTTGTGCTTCAGCTGAGATTTCCTAGAAGTGTCAACCTCACCTCTCTTGGTTAGTCAGATCTCTTATCCCAAATCAGTAGGTGTTACTTGGAAGTTTTATGCCCTATACCTAGATAAGGAGATTACTACTCTGGCACCTTGTGTGGGTGCAGTTCTGCATACTCTTGTCCAGCAATTTGTTTGTTCAAAAATGTGTGTGACAGCCTCACCTATAAGGCAGATTCAGTCCCCTGCCTGCATGGCAGCTATGGTGGACATAGCCATGAGTTCGTCATGCTTCTTGGGACATGTCGGGGTTTTTTTTGTCATCTCCAGGGTGTGCTTTCCGGCCATATTTTTAAGGGATTTTCAGCCTGTGGTCTTGCTGAAATGATTTTACAGCTCTCTCCCACGTATGCTTGTAAGAGTGATCTCTTGAAAATCAGGTGAATAGTTGTGGGTGGTTGTGTGTTATCTACCTGAACCAAACAAAAAAGTTGGGTTGTTTGGTGGGTTTTTTTTTGCTTGCTTGTTTTTAATCTATGAATTTGTTTTATTTTATGCTTCTGTGGATGGTAAGGCCCCCCACCTCTCCATGAAAACAGTTACCCAGAAGCCTGCTTTTGAAGTCTTACTGCTGAATGCGTGTAGGTGGCTTTTTTCTTTTTCCATTGCAAATTAAAATGTGTGAGCATCATGCGCATTTGCGTAGGTTTGGAGAAAGCTAGATTTTATTCATATGGAGAGTTCAATCACAAAGCGCAGTAATCCATTTGACCTTTTGCTTTTAACGCCCTTACGTTCCTTTCCCTTTTCCAGACCTTGCTGACAAATGTCAGCATGCTGTAATGTATCGGTTTAGGGATCTGTTTATGGCAGGTTCCACCCCTCACCCAAAGGTTTAAGGAGCTTCCCTATAAATAGCTATGTTGGTAATAGCCTTCTATATGCTGATGCAGTTCCCTGATCTGTATTTTATAGTAGCCAGGTCTCTTAACTCAGAATTTGGGTGTAAACACCAAATTTTGGATGAATTTTGTCTTTGCTGTTGAAGTCTTTTGTAAAAGAATGCACTATACATGTTGTAATTCTGATGAATTTAGCAAGTCAAAAAGTTTTTTCTGAAATCAGTGTATCTCCTTTTTCCATTGTCTTCTACTCTTCTTCCTTGCATGGGATTTGCTCTGCTAATCTTCCCTTGTTAGCACCCTTTGGTTTCAACTCGGGGTAAAACTGCTGTGTTGACCCGTAACGCTGAGGGACTGGCTGCTGTTTTGAATCTGAAGAGGTGACAAGTCTTCTTACATCTCAGGCTTCCCCTTTCATTAGAAAAATGTATTTGCTAGCATAGGATTAACACCAAATGGAAGGATTTTTCTGGTTTTGTTTGAATTTTTGGCTATTGTTTTTAGTTGCTGAAGATTGCTACTGCAAATGTCTGTGGGACACAGGCTGATGTTGAAAAACACCAGCTGTGATCCACTGAATGAGAAATTTCCCACTTTCAGTCTATATATTGTCAGATGATACATTTTTGGAGTATTGCATTTGCATTTGTCTTGCAGCATTAGGCAATACTTTTTCCTCAGTTAAATTATTTGTCTTCAGATGCTGTCCGATACATGTGGTGCAGCTGTCATGTATTACAGTCTCTGAGATTTTAGGAAAGCCTTAACCATATCAGGTAGGCTGATGGAACTCTTTCCACAGGTTTACCAGCAGGTGACTGTTCATACACAAATGCAAAGACTAAGTCACTAGTATTTCATGTATTGCTAGCCCTTTGCCACATACAGTTTTCAAGACCTAGCCTCACTTCCCCTCTTGTAGAAGTGAATTGTGTGGAGACTGGTGACTGTACCTTGTGGTTGGTCATTGTCAAAAGGAACCACAAGGAACAAAACTGTTAAAGAAAAACAGGGACGAAAGCCTTCCTTCTGCCTCCCTTTGAGAAGCCACGTGCTAGAGCACAATTGTGGCCCAAGGTGCACTCCACTTTTGGAAATAAAGGCGATGTAATTCTGCTGTTTGCAGCATCTCCCTAAAAATGTAGCAATTTTTTCAAGGAACAGACTCATGCTTGCAGGCAGAGGAAAGAGTTGGGAGGTTTTCTATGCATAGCACAAGCAGTTACAACTTCTCTGTTGTAAGATAGGAAATACATCTGGAAACAGAGGGAATTTGCACCATCCAGGACTGCTCTTTGAAGCCAGCTATAAAATGATTAGCAGATTGAGGACCACGGTTATAAATCAGTGTGTAGATTGTACAATGTGTTGCTTTATTTCTATTTCTGTTCTTGGGAATGAAGCTAGTTGAGATTCAGTGGCATCAGATGAAAAGATTAATTTATTGTTAATCAGGGTCAATAATGTGAATTTTTAAAGGGTTTCTGCTTTCAGACTACTTCATTCGAGTGGACCAAAGGCAGCTGAGCTGAACTTTGGCACAGTGACCTTGATCAAAGAGGCAGACTGCTCAAGAGGCCTTTCTTATTCTGGTCTGAATATACTGTGGGTCACGGTGGGCTATAAACCTAATGAGAGAAAGGCAAAACAAAGTCCTGTAACTGGTCTGCCTGGGATGTTGAACTTATGACTTCCTAGTAGCTGCAGCTGGGGAAAAGTCAGCTTCATTATTAATGAAGTTTTTCATGCATGTGACCAGTCATTGACAAATACATAAACTTTGAAGAGATTGTTTACAAGGAAAATCTAGAATAGAAAAAACTGGTTTACAGCCTTTATCTCTCCTCTTGTGAGAAAAATTTCTTATATGAAGAGAGAAGAGCTTGGGACTTGGCATCCAGGAAACTATGTGTGCCTATCCATCCTGCTTGTGTCTCCTGGTGAACGTGCACAGCTTCTAGCCAGTCAAGTAGAAGTGGCGTTTGATTTGGAAAAATAGACAATACTGTGCAATGCTTTTCCTGTCATTCAAGTGAAATAAGAACAAGAACCTATAAATACTGCTTTACCAGAAAGAAAGATAGTGCAGCAACTTTCACAGGGATGTACGCACAAAGGAGAAAAGATACATTTTCTTTTCCTTTATGAAACAGCACTGTGAATAAGATATTGTGATCCTGTGTTCAGTGAATATAAACATAAACCATCCAAGTTTCTCATCCACCATTCTTGCAATATTTCAGCTTAACGATGGTGGCAAGGCAGCCCGAGCACACGTGGGGATAGGTGATGTGGTTCTCACCATTGATGGGATAAGCACGGAAGGGATGACTCATCTGGAAGCACAAAACAAGATCAAGGCATGCACAGGCAATTTGAACATGACTCTGCAAAGGTAAGATACCTTTTTCTTAAATAAAAAAAAAAAAACAAACCACAAGTATTAATCATCATCGTAACAGTTCTTTGGAGCATAAAAACATGTAAGTGGTTTGGCAAAGTGCATGGAGTTAAGCAGCCGTGATTAAAAGATAATGCTTCTGTAGCCTGAAATGTGTCTTGATTTATAGCATTTTAGAAAACTTATTAGATATTAATTATAAGAGTTGACAAAGACCTTGTCCAGCCTTCTGCCACCTGCTCTACTTTGAATGAAGTCTAGTTAGTCTTCCTTTGGAACTTCAGTTTTGTTAACGCTTGTTTAATTAAAAACAGGCCTCATCCAGGCTTTTTCCCCTCCCCTGACTGACTAGGGCCACTTCTTTTTTGGGTCAAGTCCTACATTGTCATTTTTATTGGGAAACAGAATGATGGATTTAAACAGCTAACCTCTGAGTTATACAGATTAAAATATTGCAGCTCAGAGTCACAGAGAGATGTTTACCGAAGTAATACTACCATTTCACAAAGCAGCAGCCTCCCTTTGCTAATTGCAGCATCTACTATAGAAGTTACACCTTGGGTCAGTCTCATTCCTGAAACGTATAGTTTATTGAATCTCAGCATACCTCTGTTAGCCTGGGGCTATATTTTGGGAGGGGTTGGAAGAAGGGAGCAGGATGCTTATGTGTAGGTTTTTGGAATTGAAGCAGGAAGAGCAGCAGCACAAGCAAGAAATTCCTTCAAGCTCTCAAAAGTCTCACAGGGCTAAATATTGACTTTCATTAGAAGACTGCTATTTTTATTTAATGATGTGAGTGAGCATCTTGGAGGAGGATTGGCCTCTGAAGCCATCACATAATGAGAACCATTTTTTCTTGTTATCAGAGAAAATAACAGCAGTTGCACCCTGTGATTGCTGTTTGTGCGTGCCTTCAGCAGTGCAAAGTTCCTCGTTGAATGGTTGAGGGCCATAACGGTATCTCTTCACCAGTTACTACTTGTAATAATTTTCTAGCAAATTATCCTGCACATAATGAAAGGACCACCTCTCTAAGAGTTCATCAGTGTAAGAATAAAATAGATGATACGGTTGTAGGTCTGACATACATCCGGTTCTCCAGGGTGGTGGTGCTTGTTCTCAACCCTAAGTGATAGGTAGTCGAATGGTTGTGTGAGTGCTTTATTTTATAAGGGGCTGCAGTTCAGCCCTGCTTGTTTCTTGTTTTTCCTGTTGTCTTTCTGTACTTTGGTCCTTAGCTACCCTTAATAAGAGATTCCTTTTGTTCAGTCTCTGAGGAAAGGAGTATCTTGTGGTGTGGTGCATGCCTAAGGTATCTTCTCAAGTGAAACTTGTAAAGGTGTCATTAAAATTTTCTTGATGAAACAGAGGTATTATACCAGCTCATCAGAAGAATCATGCATTGTATCTAGTGTGTCACTTGCCTTTCTGTCTTCCAAGGAGGCACACAGATCATTTAGAAATGTACTTTCCAGGAGCCCACTGAGTCACTCCAGCAGGCAGCTGGGAGTGTGGGGGTTTGGCCCACTTTCTCCCATCACCATAAATTGATGGGCAGGGTTAATATCAGATACAGGAAAGGAATAGCAGGTGTGTCTCATTCAGGCAATAACTTGTCTGAGGCTGCTTCTGGTTGGGTGCAGGGATGAGTGGTTTGAAAATTGAATTAATCATGAGTTAGCCCGGTCCTCTCCTGTTCTCACCCTTCCTATCCAGTGTAGCATCTGACTCACCAGCGTCAGCTACCTGACAGCTGAAGGCTAAGTCAGGATCAGACTAGTAGAGATCAAAGGAATAGCCTCAGCCCCAGCATCTGGGAGTGGGACACATGTCCTCTCTTGTGGCTCTGCTGGTCTGTAGTCCCATGGTCTCAGCTGTTTTGAATTCTGCCCAGATCCCATGAAACCAAAGCTGTAGACTGTGCTCTCCCAGTGCCTCTGCCTGTGGAAACTTCCTTGCTCTGACTGCTGTTTCACAGGACATTTGTTTTGGTTGTTTATTTGTTCTTTGTAGCCTGGAAGAAAGCACTTCTTAGAGGCAGACTGGCTCACGCTAACTGCAGATGCTGGCTGCCCATGGGAAGGACAGCTTGAGAGTATAAACAGGGTGGCAAGATAAGCCATTTTAATATTGAAGGATCTCCATAATTCTTCTGTTCCTGCCTCTTCTCCCAAAACAAAACCAAATTAAATAACATATTTTGAGCTGTTATTGTTCACATGCAAGATTAAAGAGATGCTGTCAATGTGCAACAATGTTGGCCTTCAAAATACGAGTTGGTGCCATAGATGGGAAAATCTAAGACATATTTTGGTTTTACTGCTTTTAATAATCTTTTGGAGGTTTTGCACTTCTCTGAGCTTTTATCTGCTTCCACACAGACTACTGATAGTTTGAACTACAATGCAAAAATGTTGAGGTTAGTCTTGAGATGGTATGTAAATTCTTAGGTACTGCCCCAGTTTGCTGCTGCTTTAAAGGAACACAATGATCAGTTGGTAAGCAGTGGTACTTTGAGGTCCAAGGAAATTGGGAGTGTTATGGCTTGAGCTAACGGCTTTTGCACTGTAAGCGCATCGATGTGGTGCTTTATGAAAAGTGCTAAAGAACTCATTTTGATCAAATTAGTCATAGGAACCAGAATATATTTTGTAAATTGCATTTGGTATGTTTATGGTGGTAGCATTGAGTGGCCTTTATTCATGATAAATTGTAAGAAGTACTGTGCACTCATTCATGGATGCCTGCTTTACTCTTGATCAGTTACAAATTGACACAGATTCATGTAGAATATGTGGGAATTAATACAGTGGTGCAGATTTAAGTATAATGTGAAGATAACGGCAATATGGTGAAAAATTGCTGGGCATACCACCAGCCTCACGGTATGTCAGAAACAGGGCTGGCTGTGCTGTTTGCTAGAGAGGGACTAACCAAAATAATCAGGTGGCTTTTTAGGGGCTTTTTGGTGTGTGTTGTGAGGATCAAAATGACAGCTGGTAGAAAAGCAGTGGTACACCCCAGGGATTAGTAGGCCAGTGAACCTGAGTGGGTCCCATCTGAGGTTGGAGGGCTCTCGCATCCCAGTTTGCACAGTGGTGGGGGCACGGCGACAGCTTGCCTTTTAAAAGCTACAAAGAAAACCTTGTCAGTCTGTGTGGCAAAGGCGAGAGAGGAAATTCTTTATGATCAGCTTTCTTACTGTATATATTGTAACTTGATATGCTTTTGTACTGATGGTCAGGTTTTCACTTGACTTCCTCTATTCTTTATGTGCAAAGTGGAAAAAATAAAATTAAGAGAAACAAAATAAGGGGCAAGAAGTAGCTTGCCTGGAGGGTTGGAAGGGATAGTTAAAGCAATGTCTTCAAAAACTTTACTTAAAGGTTTAAAGCGCTATATTTATGGAGGCAGATGTGCATGTACCTCTTGTGTAAAACCAGTTTAGTTGTTTTGTAACTTGTCAATGAATGTTGGCAAAATATTTGAAGGAAGAATAAAAGGTCCTTTTTTTCCTGTGTAAGACAATTTCACAGCTTGGTTTTTAAAATACGGAGTTGTTCTTTGCCCCTGAAAAAAACTGGAATTGCAGCTGTCAATTGAAAGTTCACTTTACTTTGAGATTGCTTAAATACAAGTAGATAAAATTGTGTTTGCCAGCCATGTACAGTAGTAGGTGCCTAACATTTGCATGTGTTGGCAAATATTTTCAGGTATATGTATTTAAAACTAATTAGTTCTGTAAACAAGTCTCACTGTTTAGTGTGAAGGTCACATTTTTTTTTAAATGTGAAATAACATGCCAAAATTAGAATTTTATTTGCTCATTTTTCATTTTAGATGTGGCTTAAAAATATGGAGTGTGTTTTTCTTTTTTTTCTTTTTCATTTTGCAAACTGTGATTTTTAGCTTCTTGATAGTATTTTGTTTTGTTTATCATAGGGAATTTTCCTTGGATGCATCCCTCCTTCCCTGAGATCTTGCTCTTTTGCACCCCATTATTTTGTTTTCAGTTAAAGTCCTTTCCTGGTTCCCATGAGGACAGATGGAAACCAGATGCTTGCTTTTTGGATATATTCTCAAGTTCAGTAATTTAGCATGGATTTCCAGAAAAAAAATCTGTAAATTGCTGAACAGCTAAGAGCCACCATCTATTTTTTAAATATTATTTTCGGGGACTGTTTCTCCAGACTCGTGCTGTAATGATTCTTTGGAAGTGAGAAAGATAAGGAATTGTGTATATCTTGTATTGCATGAGATCATGATACTCATAAAACTTCTGGAAAAAGTGTCAGTGAGCAATACAGGGGATAAAAATAATACAGAAAAGGTTGGAAAGTTGGGTGGCTTTTTTTTTGCCTTTATAATATAGAACTGATTTATCTCTTCATTTCATAAAACAGATCTGCACAGCTATAGTGTGCTTTGTAAATGAATTTCTTTCACCTCTCCCTATGAATTTAGTCATTTAGGATGAAAGTCATAGGGATTGCTTGGCTTGGGAAGTGAAAGGAGGATTCTCAAGGTTGTTTACCTCTCTTGCTATATTGCAGTGCTTCAGAAACCATTTTTGGGGTACATTAGGTCAGCAGTGAGCGGTTACGACAGTTCTGCTTCCAGCTCATCAATAGATGACTATGGATTTTTGCAAATGAACATGTATGTTACAAAGCAATAGATGAATTTCAGTGATGGCTGTGGGTTTTGTGTTTGGCTGTTTGGTTTGGTTTGTTTTTTTTCTGCTCCCCCCCCCCCCCCCCCCCCCCCCGCCTTTTAAAAGCGCAGTTGCCCAAGTGTCACAGGTGAGTCCAGGGCCTGCCGGGTATTTTTGATATCCATGTTGACAGAACTCAGAGTGAAATTCAGGTGATCCTTAAGGCTGGGTCCTGCAGTTTGTAAACTCATGTGTTAAAAACCATGACACTTACTTTATCTGCCTGCCTGAGTCTTTATTATACCATACTCCCTCATCTTCTAAGTTTTTCTTTCAGGAA